GAGAGGAGAGAGAAGAGAAGAAAGAGAGTGAGAGAGAGAATAGAATGAGGTCCCTGTGTCACTCTATATCCTTCCCAGAGGTTTCTGTGTCTCCCTGCTTCCTCCTTGTCACTCTCTATTTTTAATTTTTTCTATTACTCCCCCCTCCAATGTCTTCTGCTTTTATATTCTGCCATCTTCCCACTTCTTTCTTGTGATTTCCCTGTGACTCCTTGTATAACTTATTATCTTTTCCCCTAAATCTACCCTTCTTCTCAACTTCTCTATTCCTGTTGAAGAAACCATTCTTTCAGTCTCAGGTTTATGACCTCAGTGTTTTTCTCAAATCTTCACCTTCAGCCTTTGTTGCCTTTTACCTTGATTACTGCAACAGTCTCCTCATTTTTCTCCCTGCCTTGATTTCCCATTCCTGTCTATCCTGCACACTGCTGCCAAAGTGATTTTTCTTAAGTGCACATCTGACACGTTACTCTCCTATTCAATCAATCTCATTGGCTCCTATTGTCTCTAAGATCAAATAGCTTTTCTGTTTAGTTTTTAAGACCCTACACAGCCTGGCCCCAACCTATCTTTCTAGACTCATTGGGCATTACTCCCCTTCCTGCATGCTTCAGTCTAGCCAAACGGCCTTTCTCCCTGTTCCTCACATGCAACACTCCATCTTCCCACCCTCCCTTTTGCATTGGCTGTCGCCTTTGCCTGGAATGCACTCCCTGCTTAACTCTGCCTATTAGAATCTCTCTTTGCCTTCAAGATGCAATTCAGGTACCGCCTTCTGCATGAAGCCTTTCTTGATCCCCATCAGCTGAGTGCCCTCCTTCTCAAACTTCTGTTGTTTTTGTTCAGTGGTGTCCAACTCTATGTGATGCAATGGACTTTGTCCATGGGGTTTTATTGGCAAAGATACTGGTGTGGCTTGTCATTTCCTTTTTCAGCATGTCCCCATTTTATAGATGAGGAACTGAGGCAAATAGGGGTTAAACGATTTGCCCAGGGTCACACAGCTAGTGTCTGAGGCCAGATTTGACTCAGAACTTCCTGACTCCAGGCCTTGTGCTCTATCCACTGTGCTCCCCAAACTACCTTGTGCTGAATTATTTTGTATCTGTTCTCTTTACATTTATTCTACATATGCTTATCTGTCCTTGTCAGTCCTTCTCTTTGTGATGTGTGCTTCTTAAATGTAGGAACTGTTTCCTACTTATTAACTGTCTGTACAGCATCTATTACATAGAAGGTGCTTAGTAAACACTTCGTTGATTGGTCAATTGTTTTTTCTATTCACTCCATACCCTTTATATTCATGTATTCCCATGCCCTTACCATTGTCTCCTGAGTTTAGTTTTCCCAATGCCTCTTTATCAATCGATAAGCATTAGGAACCTACTATGTGCCAGGCAGGGTTCCTGTCACATCTCCTGTGCTTCCCCCATATCCTCATATTTCTATGTCTCTTGCAATGGGATGGAAGAAAGGAAAAAGCATTTCTTAAGAGTCTACTCTGTGCTACATTGTGCTAATAATGGCTTTCCAAATATCTTATTTGTTCTCTAACATGTACGAGTTCCATCTCCCCCGCTCCCACAATGTCCCTTCAGTCTCCTACCTGTGAGACCTGGGGGGCAGAGGCAAGTGAAGGAGCCCACCCTATCAATGCATGTAGAGCCCTGGGCACAAGTGGCAGAAGCACAGTCATCCAGGTTCTCCTCACAGTCTGGGCCACCCCAGCCACTCACACACACGCAGTGAAAGCTGCCGGGGGTGTTCTGACAGGTGCCTCCATTCTGACATTGTGGGGGGCTAGCGGCTCCACACTCATCCACATCCTCTGAACAGTCCTGTCCTATGGAGGAGAAAGAACAGAGCTGTGCTACTTAATACCATGGTTTCTGAAAGTTAAGAGAGATTGGACGTGAATCCCAGGTCCCAGAACTGAACAATTGGGTCATAGGTCTTACCCTGTGACCTCAGTAACTCACCTGCCCAGGTCTCAGGGCACAGACAGGTGTAGGCATCCAGTCCATCTTGGCAGGTGCCTCCATTCTGACATCTGTGTCCAATGCAATTGTCTGGATTCACTTCACACTCCCGGCCTGTGAAACCTGCACAAGAAGCGTGGAGATCGTTTGGGTAATAGGCATCTTAAAGGAGAATGTCCTTATGTCTTGATGGAAAAGGCATGGGGGAAAGGCTGTCATAAGTACTCACCTGGGTGGCAGAGGCAGTGGTGGAAAGTGGTGGACCCAGGTACTAGTTGGCAGGTGCCCCCATTTTGGCAGCCTGTAGCAGGGCAGGGCCCCACCTGGAATTCACACTGGGGCCCGTCCTGTCCTGGGGGACAGAGACATTTGTAGGAGCCCAGTAGATTGTGGCAGGTGGCACCTGTAGGGCAGACCTCTGAGTCCTGGAAACACTCATTGACATCATGTTGACAGCTATTGCCCTCAAAGCCCTGGGGGCAGTCACACATAATATGGGGATATGTGGCCAGACAGACCCCTCCATTGGCACAGGGGTTTGCTTTACAGAAGTCCTGCTGCTGGCAGTGCTCACCTAGGGTGTGAGGGTAGGAGGATAGAGAGGAGAGAAAAGGAAAGAATTTTACAACCTGCATGAGTTATAGCCTATTTTATATCGTTTATAACAGACTTTTAAAATCTCACGTTCACATTAATTTTTACAACCTTTATTGCTTAAGTCTCTTTTCTCTGGTTATATACCTGTATATTTGTTGTTTAGTCATTTCAATCATGTCTTCGTGACCCCATTAGGGTTTTCTTGGCAAAGATACTAGAGTGATTTGCCATTTTCTTCTCCACATTTCATGGATGAGGAACTGAGGCAAACAGGGTTAAATGACTTGCCCAGGGTCAACACAGCTAGTAATTGTCTGAGGGCCAGATTTGAACCGAGGAAAATGAGTCTTCCTGACTCTAGGCCCAGCACTCTATCCACTGTACCACCTAGCTGCCCAGATATACGTGTTTATATCTCAGTTTTTAAATAATCTTTTAAGTTCTATTCTACTTTGCCTGAGTAATCATAATCACTTACCCTAATCACACTTAACTGGGTTCTATCTGTCACACCTCATCCTATTTTGATCACATCTTGTCTGGGTTGTATTGTATCCTGCTTAGATTGTGTGTCTCCTGCTCTTGGGTTATATAGCACACTCTGCTTATATCATACGGACGTTATATCACATTATCATATCTTACCTCTCTTATATCATATACTTTAAGCTTTCAAAGATCTGGGGTTTCATCCATTAGCAAGCATTTATTCTATACCTACTGCTATATGTACCAGGTACTGGAGAATACAAAGACAGAAATGAACTAGTTTCTCTCCTCAAGGAACTTATGTTCTATCTATTAGTGTGTATAGTCTTTTCATTGATGAAGATTACTGCCCCTCTGAAGCTTAGTTGGTGATCTTTGAAAGTTGCTTTGGCCAGCCTTCTTATGTAATAGTGGTGGTGGTGGTGGTGGTGGTAGTAGTAGTTGTAGTTGTAGTGGTAGTAGTAGTAATTCTCATAATATTCTGGAGAACAGACAGTATTACAATATGGGAAATGGACCGTCATAGACCAAACTGTTGCATAACACTGGCCCACAAAAAAAACTTAAGAGAAGTGTTTTGATAGATGTCACCATTCCAGATATTCACAATCTCCAAGCTACATGGAACAAAAAGCATTCAAAAAGCATAGAAACCTGACAGAGGAGATTAAAATCATGTGGAAATAGAATAATTTCGCCTCTGTTATCCCATCTGCTCCTAGAGTTGTACCAAAGATGTTTTCAGTGAACTTATAGAGACATTTTCATTTTTGCTGAATGATCTGCATGTGCTGATCTTACATCCTTATGTTTTTAATCAACTACAAAGCCAATTATTTTATTCTTCTTTGCAGTAGTCTATATGCCACTAAAAATAAAATCATAATAGTAAGATAGTTACTTGTCCCAGTGCTGTTTCTAGTTGAAATCCTATCAAAAAAAGATGAGAATTAAATGATAGTGCAGTAGATAGAGCACTGGACTTTGAGTCAGGAAGAAAGAGTTCAGGTCCAGCCTTAGACACTTAACTGTGTGACCCTAGGCAAGTCATTTAATCTCTACCTGCCTCAGTTTCCTCATCTATAAAATGGGAATAGTAACACTTCCTTCTTCACAGGTGTGGGATGATCAAATGAGATATTTGTAAAGCACTTTGCAAACCTTAAAGTGTCATATAAATGTTAGTTATTACTGTTATTGTTATCATTATTTTATATTTATATTCCATTCTACTTTTCTGCCTGTTGAAATTCTTCCTTCCTTTAAGGCTTATGTATAAGCTCTTAGCCCCTCCATGAAACATTTCCTGATCCCTGAAAATAGAAGTGATTTATCATGCCTCAGTTTTCATATAGAACTTTCCCTCATCACATTTTACTTTTCATTATGCTATTTATGAACATGCCCTAGCCTCTTATTGGATTGTAATTTCCTTGAAGGCAAGCAGCTACTGTATTGCACGTAGTAAATGCTCGGTAATTACTTGTTAAATAAATGAAGTATTTGATAATTGAAGCAAAAGACATGGTCCTTGCCCTTGGGGAGGATCCTCTTTCTCCCTTTGTATTACCAGTATTAGATCACAGAAATGTGGAGAGGAAGGGAGGGGAAAATAGGAAGATATTGGCAGGAAGAGGCAAAAAGAGATAGGAAAAATGAGAAGGAAGAAGAGGAACAGTATAGTCCATTTCTCCCCTTCCTGGCACTATTCCATTACCTGTCCATCCAGATAGGCAGTGGCATCGAGGCTGACCAGAAGGTAAGACATGGCATCGGCCATTATGGTAACAGGGATAGGACAGGCAGGGGTCTTTGAGTTGGCACCGTGATCCTCCAAAGCCAGGGGGACAGGAGCAGAAAAAACTGGGAGGGTGGGATGAGGGCGTGCCCTGGTGATTGGGGAGCAGGCTCTCACAACTGCCTCCATTCTGGCAGGGCCTGGCATTCTGGCAGGGATCTGGAAACTGGCACCTCTCACCCAAGAAGCCCGAGGCACACCTGGGAATAGTGGCGAGATGAAGAGGAGACCCATCCAAACCTCACGTCTTCCCCTTCCTGCCACAAGTCTTTCTCCCTTCTTGTTTCCCCAAACCTTGTCTTTCTTTCTCATTCCATCTCTTTCCAATCCCTCCTTCCCATCTCCCCATGTCACCTCTTCCCTCTTCTCTCTCCTCTTTCATCTTGTCCTTCCTATCTCTCCCTACTTCTTTCAGTCTTTCTTCATCTCTCATTCTCCTGCTCTCCACACTTGCTTCTCCCTCCACATCCCTCCCACTTCCTTTTACCCAGACCCAATACCCAACACTCACTGACAGGTTTCTTCACCCTGGGACGAACTCAGGCAGGTGCCCCCATTGGCACAGGGCTCTGGGAGCTCCTCACATGATAGTCCTAAGAATTAAGGGACAGGGGCTAGAATATTGGGGAAAGCACTACGCACCTGGACTCCTTTCCATCCTAGCTTCTGAGAACTTCTGTTTTTGAGAATGAGAACCTTCTTCCTTATGACCCCCTTCATGGACTCTTTCAATCCCCATCCCTTCTAGAACAGTGTACTTTTCCCAATGATACCCTTTCCCCCACGCTTGTACCCCCCTTCCCCAATTGGACAGCATCCCAGATCCTAGTCCTCTCTGCTCTCAGTCTCCCCACCCCCTTCCTGTTTATTCCCTGGCTTCCCAGCTCTGTGCTCCAGGCTTGTCCCTCGGAAGTAGATGACAAGGCTAGGGAGGGGGGCCGAGAGGGACCTAGGAGGTGAATGGTTGAGACACTAAAGGGATATCCTACCGGAAAGGCCCAGGGGTGGGGACAACAAGAATGGGTTAGGGAGACCTTGGATTATCTGTCTTTCACATTCCCACCTCCTTGTCCCCCTCCAAATTGTGTAGCTGGAGAATCTGTGGGTAAAAGTTTCTGTAGTTTCCCAAACAAGACTCTCACCTTTCTCTGTTCCTTCTGGGCAGAGGTCAGTGGGTGGTAGGGTGGGGGGGGGTGAAGTGGAAGGTTTAGGACCTCACCTTTGCAGCTCACATTTCCTGTGACTATCTCACCACCTCTACAGGTGCAAGACCAGTGTATGCTGTGGCTTCTCCTCAACCTTCCCCCTTCCCCCTTGCTGGTTCTCACTTAATCCTTGCAACACCCTGCACCAGCATTCTCTTCCCCCACTCATTTCCGAATCTCAAAGGAGAGAGGGACTCCCTGCTCCTATCCATCCCAACATCCTTACCTCTGGTCAGTGGCAAGGAGATCAGCAGCAGCAGCATGGAACGGTGCTGCATCTCTGACACTCCCCTGGGCTCCTCACCCTCCTCTCTTCAGGAGGGGACCCCCCAGAGTCTTTGGTTGGTTGTGGTAGGAGAATCTCTTCTGTTCCCACATCCCCTTCCTCCTCCTCCTTCAGGCCCAACGTCTGAACTGTTTCCTGAGACACACAATGTCCTGGACACCCTTGGGATGGGGGGAGGGAGGAGGAGGGAGTTGGGACCAGTGAACATGGTGGGGGAAGAGGGGAGGGGCCTTCTATTCCTGAAACCCCCTTGTCATGGGTGGGGATGAGAGGTTGTATGGTGGTCAGTGGGCATGGGGGTTCAGATGGAGAGGGGAACAGAATACATGGAGAAATTTCTTTAACCCTCCCACCCCCAGGGAACCACACGTCTTTCCAGCTGCTCTGGTTGGCTGAAGAAGCCCTGAGATCCCCAAGGCCGAGCAGAAGCTAGGATTGGAAGAAAAAAGTTATGAGAGAGTGGTGAAGGCTCCTTTTTCCTTTAGGGGGCTGCTACCAAGACAGAATGCTTGTTTCATACAGCTAGGATGGACACCTCCCCTGGGCCGACTAACTACTTTCAGCTATGGTATAGGGGTCGAAGGGGGCTTCTGGGGCCATCAAAATCCCTCTAAAGGTTTCCAGGAAGGGAACAAGCATTTATTAACCATCTACTATGTACCTCTAAAGGTTTCCCAGAAGGGAACAAGCATTTATTAACCATCTACTATGTACCAGGCAGTGTTAAACACTTTGCCAATACTATCTTATTTGATCCTCACAACTATTGCTACTGTTGTCCCCATTTTACAGTTGCGGAAACTGAGACAGAGGTTAAGTGACTTGCCCTGGGTGACACAGCTAGTGAGTATCTGAGGTTAAATTTGAACTCAGATCTTCCTGACTCTAAGCCCACTGTTCTATCCACTAAACCACCTAGGTACCTAGATACTTCTACTTTTTTTTTTTTGGCTAGGCAATGGGGTTAAGTGACTTGCCCAGGGCCGCACGGCTAGTGTCAAGTGTCTGAGGTCGGATTTGAACTGACTCCAGGGCCAGTGCTCTATCTACTGCACCACCTAGCTGCCCCAGCCTAGATACTTCTAACATAGGCATAAGGATATTTAGTATTTCAGGAAGCAAGTGCCCCCTGCCTTTTGACAGCAGAAGTAGCCTGCTGTCTTCTCCACATCTAACTGAAATCAAGATTAGAGTTACAGGGAGCAGAGGTAGCACAAGGAGAAAGAAGAGAGGGATGAGTAAGAGGAAAGGAGGGAGAGGTTGTTTTGGAGTGTGGGTGTCAGGGGTGACCTAGGATAACTTTCCTATAATGGGAAGATAGATACACTAAACACTTAATAACTTGTTGATGTGAATTACTCTCATTGGAGTCATCTGTAAAAGAAGGGGGTTGAATTAAGTGATGTCTAAGGACCCTTCCGGCTCTACCTACCTATGAGCTTATAATTCTATGATTCCTTTGGGTACCCAGAAATAGCACCCAGAAACAATCACATTTTTACCGGATCAAGAGAGAAAACCAAAGGGTCCCAGGAGATTCTTCCTGGAGTATAAAAGAGATGTAGAAGCCTCTAGCAGGGAGATCTCTTACCTAAAAAATAACTGAGGTGATAAAAATAGGCAAGAGATCAACCCAAGCTCTCTTTTTAACTCCAGTGAAGACCATCCCTAATCATGAGACTTCCTTAGATTCCTTGCAACTTTGAAAACTTTCCCACACTTGTTTTTATTTCATCTCTGTGTTTTCCTTGTCTTATCAAAGTATTTTGATGGATATGTGATGTCAATGATACAAAATCTTCCACTGTTGTCTCATCCTGTGAGAATGACTCACAGTGAAATCCTTTAGTAAATCCTCTGTAGAGATCTACGGAGTGCATGAGAGGTCTTCCTGCGCTCCCTTTTTATGTTCCATGGAGACCCAGGCTAAACTCTGGTCACATTTGCTGTCCTACACTTATGACTATATCAAGGCTGCAAGATGTTAAAATGGATAGGATGCGAGGGCTGGAGTCAGGAAGACCTGAGCTCAACTCTGATCTGACACTTAGAGGTATGACTCAGGCTAGTCACTTAACCTTTGTCTGTCTGGGTTTCCTCAGCTGTAAAATGAGGATAATAGTTGCACCCACCTTCCAGGCTTCTTGTGAGGATCCGATAAGATAGTACCTAGCACAATGTAAAGTACTTAGCACAATGCCCTGCACATGACAGGTTGTTTCTTTCTTTCCTATTCTGCCTTCCTTTCTTGACATATACATGCTCTATGATGTCTTTTATTTCTCTTCTTGGTTGCAAGTTATTTTTTTATGACTATGCCACACATAGCCTGGAGCACTGGTTAGAGTGTTTGGCTTGGAATCAGGATGATCTGAGTTCAAATTCTGCCTCAGATACTAGCTATGTGACCCTGAGTAAATTACTTGACCTTTCTGGGCTTCAGTTTCTTCATCTGTAAAATAAGGTAATTGGACTCAGTGGCCTCTAAGGTCCCTTAAAAAAAAAACCAAATAGAGTTTATAACAGAATTCAGGGAAAATACTGAGACTCTGACCCATAGGCTTCTGCTACTAAGTAAGTAAGGGTCCCGGGAGGTGTGGTTTCTAGTGTGGCTCCTGCGTATATGATCAAATGAGAAAACATGTATAGAGTGCTTTGCAAACTTTGAAGCCTCATATAAAGATGTTAGCTGTATGTCTTCTACTGAGGTTCTCCACGGTTCCAGGAGGGTGGCATACCTCCAGGGCCATGCCTCATCAATGTTCCTGTTCATGGCTGAATTGATCATTAATCTGTGAAATTGTGTAATTGTGAAATGGGGGCAGGCGTGCCTGGTTCTTTGGGCACTTGCCAGGAAAGATCACAATCGGCAGTTGGAAACAGGATGGCAATCACACTTTAATAACCACAATGGGTGTAAAGGTGAATGGCACAGGAAATACAGAGCAATGAAAAGTGGGGATACAGAGGTAGATGATATAGGGATGCGGAAATGGGATGGGGAAGGAAGTTAGGGAGCATGGGGAAGAGGAAGGAGAGGGGATGAGTCACGTGGCAACCTGGGAGCACCTGAGCAGCAGGGACCCTTAGGAGATGGAAGAGTGCCTGGGGCAGGGGAGGGTAGGAATTTGAGGTCTCATTTTCATGTGCTTTTTTTTTTTTTAAAGGAAACAGACCGACTTCTCTCTGTGCCACCTTGGGGTTAGTTCATTAACATCCAAATCATCTCAAAGTTAGTACCTTTTTGATATGCTGCTGGTCTGGAACTGAAGTTTGGATTTTGTCTGGACTTTACATATCATTGGACCAGACACCTTGATAAGCAGCGCTTAGATGGCTTCCCCTGATTCATCATATAATATCAGGATGTGAAATTTGGTTAATATATGATATGATTTGTAAATTGTGCTCCTTTGATCTTTGGGATGTTTTGTACATGACTTCCAGGTTGCCCTTTGCAATCTTATTTCCTGCTATTGCCCCTTTATACTGGCCACTTATAAACTTACTATACTGACTAGAAGTCGGGGACAAGAACAAGATAAAATTTTAACAAAAGAGCTCTTCTGGCTGTCTGCACAATGTAGTTCTTTACACAGCCTGCAGGTTTCTGCACCTCCCAGAGGATGACTTGGGCTGTTATTCCCCATAGCCACTTTCTATCGTGGTACCTCTGCTACTCTCTGAAGTATTACTTCATCTTCAATTTTTCAGCAGATGACATTGATCCTGTTCTGTGACTTTGTGAGAAATAATAATACTAAGAAGTTAGGTTTTCAGCCAAAAATGTCCATTGCCATTGTTTCTGCAGCTCTCAGACAGTCAGAGGCCACTTCCATAGCACCAAGGTACCCCAGAGCTCCCTTGTCTTGGCCAGA